CTCTTGCGACACAGGTGCATGGGTTATCTTTTTAGTTCCTTGTCCACATTCCGTTTGTTGAGTTCCTGGAGGTCTGCATAATTAAGTCTGTCGAAACGCGGGGCAGTTTATCACAAGGGCAGGCCGGCAATAGTACAGAAGCGAAAAGGCAAAGGTTAAATTTTATCTTTACAGAGCAGAAAGGCACAGTTTAAATTTATTCTTACAAACTCACACCGGGTGCGTGTGCGTGCATGCCCAAGATCACAAGAGGAGAATGGAGGAGAAGGGATTGAGGCATGGCCATCCCCCTTGAGGGGTGATTTCTCACTTTCTGTCTCTGTCTGTCTTTCGAAAGCCCCGATAGCAAAAATCCAAAAAAAAAAAAAAAAAAAAAAAAGGAAATCACCTCCAAAATCTTCATAAGTGAAAAGCTACAAAATAAGCTTAGCTAAAGCTCCTTAGGAACCCTGCATTGATTACTAAGCAGCTGTGTTAACTGGTGTGTAACTCCACACAAATGCTTTAACTAGAATCTGAATTCCTTCTCGCTTTGCACCTAATAAGCATACATTGTAATGACACTTGGACAACGAACTGAACTTGAGGAATTTTGGCCTCTTCTCATGTCCTCACTTGGAACTTTCCAACTTTCATGACATATTTGACTCCTTTCAATGGCTCATATTTCTCCCCATACATTTCCAAGGGGTTTACTTTTCAGCCTGAAATAGCAAGCTGCTGAATCTTGAGCTGAATGTTGAGGCTTGGATTCCCTTCTGGCTTAGGTGCTCCAGACTGTAAATTTACCAGTCCTTTAATGCTTGGGAGCTTTTGTGGAGTAATTTTTCCCATGTTGCATGTTAGGTTCTTGGTGACTATATCGGATGTATAGCTGTCCTTTGTTGGTGTCAGGTTCATATTCAGCATGACTTTTGGCATGTGAACTTAATTCCTTCAATAGTTTTCCCCATATTTTGCTTTGGTCCAATTGTTATATCAAATCTCCCACGAGAACTGTTCTCTTTAAAGCTGATACTATGTCTCACATATACTGGTATTGCCACTAGATTTTGTGAGCTGACATGGTATGGTATGAGTCGGAAACTTCCATCTGGAAGAATAAATGAT